CCAGCTATTCCGCCTCCGGCAGAAATGACGGCGAATGACCGCGACCGGTGCCGCCCCCGCCGCCAGCTCCGCCTCGATTTTTTATTTTCACTTTCTAAAAAAAAAAAAAAACACAACCCAAAACACACACAAAAAACCCCCAAAACACAAAAAAACCCGACGCAGTTCCGCTTCCCCCCGCCCAGCAGAGAATTAAATCACAATTAACACCCAAGAGCAAACCTCCCCGTTCTCCACCCCTGGGCAAGAGAAAGCCCCTGCTTTTAAAACAATAGTGCAATTTGTCCATTTTGCTTTGATTTTTCCTCGGGGAAACATCCCCAGGGCCACCACCTGGACCTGCCAGGTCCTGTCTTGCTGGTGGGAACCAGGCCCTGCTCATCCCCCTGCACTCAAAAGGGGGGACGTGGGGACACAAACTCTGGCCATAGGGCACTTAGCTCCTGCTGTGCCTTGTCCAGAGATGGGGGAGAACTGGGCCAGCCCCACCCCAAACGAGGGGCTCTCCCTCCCCCCAACACTTACCAGGACAGGGACCTCCCTCCTCCCCAAGACACACGTGAAACCCGGAGCTTTTGTGTTACAAAAATATTCCGTGCTTTATTTACTCTGTGGTAGAAAAATAACATGGCCAGGGCCCCAGAGCTGCTGGGCCAGGGCGGGGGGCAGAGGGCTGCACCCCCCAGGCTGCCCGCCCTGCCACCTGCCCTCAACACTGTCTCCCTTGTGCTGCGCCGGCCCCGGGGGGGATGCCAAGGCAGCTTCTGCATCCTTGGGGAGGTCTGGGAGGGGATCCCACCACTGCAGAGCAGAGTGGCAGCACGGATGAGGGGGAGCCCCAGCCGACCCCGCTCTGCCCCGGAGCCCGGTCTGCCCACACACCCCCTGGGAATGGAGCCACGGGGTAGGACAAGAAGGCGAGACGTACATTCTTAGTGACAACAGCAAAAGCCTGAGGCCTGGCCCCTGCCCCGAGCAGCCCCTCGGCAGGGAGTGGGGGGCCTGGGGGCTGGTGCCTGCAGAAGCAGAAAGCCGAAGCTGGGCCTCTTGAAAGGAACATACAGAAAAACCATGCGACAAATCCGCTGCCGTTTATACAAGGGCATAAACACCAAAGAGCCGGACGCCAGCCTGCGTTTCGGGGCAGCACAGAGCAAATCTCCGGGGCTGGGCCCACCCACGGCCCCCCCGGCACAGAGACACAAACACAGCACAGTCCCCCCAGAGCTGGGGCGGGGGGAGAGGGCGCCTGCCCATCATGACTGGGCATGGGGGATCCACTGACTGTCCATGGGGCGCCGCAACAACTCCTCCACGTGCCTCGCCACGTCTATGGTGTCATCCAGGTCGAAGTCACCCTCAGCGTCCAGAACAGTGTCGGGGCTGCGGGAGGCAGGTGGTGAGGGGGGGACAGGCCACAGCAGGACAGGGACAGGAGACACAATACCTACTTCTGGGCGTACATGTTGTAATGGGGCTGGGAGCAGACAGCAGGTGAGGGAGCCTGGTCCATGTAGGTGGCCCCTCCAGGGGCAGAATCACCTGATGCACTTACAAACCTGCAGGTACAGCAAGCTCATGAGCACTGGCACGGGATGGGCTCCCTCAGGGTGAAGTTGCACTCTGGAAATTCCCATCACCTCTGACCAGCGTCTCCCTAGATGGGGTGGGGGCAGGCAGGGGACCCAAACTCCACACCCACCAGCACTGATAACCTGCAGGGTCCTCAGCCCCCTGGGTAGCAGCTCAGTGAGGGGGAGTGTCCACCCTGCCTTGGCTACGGGTCCCCACTCCTCAGCTCCCAGCACCAGCTCCACACCGATGTAGCCATTGGTGGTGTCAGAGCCCGAGAGCAGATGCTGATCCCAAGCTGGGGATGACCCCGTGGGATCACACGCAGCCTGTGTGCAGGGTCACACTTACTCTGGCACCACTTGCTTGATCTGTGGCTTCACGTATCCATCCACGGCTTTAGCTAGAGGACAGAAGGCAGCACTAAGACAAGCTGCTGGCAGGTGCCACACGCCCGCAGAGGGGCTGGGGCAGGGCCTGCGGCACAGCCCCGCAGGGGGATGGCCCTGAATGCAGCCCCAGGGCAGGGGGATGCTGTGAGCCCCAGCTCCATCCCGGGTGGGCTGCAGGAAGGAGAGGGACATGCACAGGGTGAAGGGCAGCGCTACCTGGCGTGGACTCACAGAGAACCGGCGTGTAGTACTTGGAAAAAACCTCATCCTTGGGCCGGTCAGGGAACACATAGATGAGGTAATTGAGGTCCCCGAGGCGGTCGGCCAGGGAGCGGATGGAGAAGTCCCTGGTGGTGAAAGGCATCAGGTTCCAGAACATCCTCTCAGCTGGAAAAACAAGAGTGAGGACCATGGTGATGCCCAGAGCTGGCAGTGGCTCCCAGCCCTGCTCCAGATACCGGCTACAAGATCATGTCGAACACCAGACAGCATTTCCCATTCTACATCCCTCCCCTGGCAACATTCAAGGACAAATCACGGGTCATCAGAAAACAGGAGGAGGCAACAGTGAACCCGAGGCAGGTCTGTCCTGCTCTGGGCATGCTGGGGGCAGGTGCCCCCTGGCCGTGGGGGCTCCGTGGTGCTCCTCAGCCACACAAGCCTCCGAAGGACCCTCTGACAAAGAACAGTAATGAGCAGAACGGCCGCACGGGGTTGGGCAACCCATGCAACACCATCACGCGCCACAAAGTCAACATGTTTCAGCCACGGATCAGACCCCGTGGCTATGTCGGGCAGTTCAGCCCCATCCTCCCTCCTCACCAAGGCCAGCTCTCGGGCTGGACACATTCCCACAAGCTCCCGCCCTCCTCCCTTCCCAGGGGAAGGCTCCTGCATGTCCAGCCCTGACGCTGCCAGTGCCCAGCCAGGACAGGAGGTGCCAGAGGAGCAGCACCAGGCCCAGGGGCTGGTGATGGCCGAGTGCCAGGGGGTGCCAGCTCCCAGCACACACTCACAGGAGTCAAACTTCCAGGCAATGGTGATGCCACCAATCTCTGAGTCACTGAAGCGCAGCAGGAAGGTCCCGTCGGGCTTGTTGATGAGCAGGTCGTGCGCCTGCTGCTTGTTGACGAAGCCCAGGATGGCCCTAGGCAGAGCGGGGCGTCAGGGCCGGGGGCTGGGGGCTGGGCAGCGCGGGGCAGGGCGGCTCTTACCCATCGTTCCAGTGGGGCTTCAGATGCTTCTTCAGCACCTCCATGACCCCATCAAACCACTGCCAGAAGGTGTAATTCCTCCCGGGCAGGTTTTCCTGTTGAAATGGCCAGAAAATGAGTTCTCCTGGCCCCTGTCAAAACCATGGCAGGACCCCAGGGCTCTGCAGCTCTCCCAGCACAGAGCCCAGCCCACTCACCCGGTTGAACTGGGACCAGGACACTGTGGTGTTGCTGTAGTCCTCCAAGTGGGAGCTGGTGCTGTTGAAGAGTTTCTGTGCCAGGAACACCAAGTTCTCCTTGGTTAGCCCACGGCTGCTCTGCACCTCTGCCTTGAACTTCATGTTGAGTGCCTCGCAGAGCTGCGGCCACTGCACCTTATCAGGCACAGCGAAGGGCACGCGGCCCTGGGGGACACGGAGCAGGGTCAGTGCCAAGCTCTGCCCACCCCCCTCTTCTACACCCCCATTGGGAGGCTGAGCCCACTTCCCACAGCCCCCCAGGACAGACAGGGCCTGCACTACAACTCCATGCTGCCAGCACTCACAGGCTCAGCAAAGGCGTTGTCCCAAAGCACAGTGGCAGTGGCATTGTTGTCCTGGCTCCCGTGTACAATCACCACCACAGGCAGGGACAGTGTCTGCCGGGAAGAAGGAGATGGGGATGTGCCATGTGGCACAGTGAGAGCATCACCCATGGACACTCTATGGCCCAAGCACAGCCCCACACCCATGGGTACAGCGTCCACGGCCCTGCAGAGGGGATGTGGCCAGTGGCATTACCTTCACCTGGAAGACCAGCTCGTTGCCACCAACACTGAACTGTGACTCAAAGAGGATAGTGAACTTCTCTTCGGTCACCGACTCAGCCCCGCGGCGATCCGAGCGCTTGATCCGCTTCAGGGACTGCAGGGACACGAGGTGTGAGCAGGGAGGAACAGATGGGGACACCAGGGTCAACACATGGGGGGATGCAACACAGATGGGGACACACGGGCACAGGAGGGGGAGCCGGCAGTGCTCACCATGTTGCGGAAGTGGGCGCTGAGTGTGCCGGTGGCCTGGTGATACTCCATCACGCAGCAGTTGTTGAGGATCTCCCCGCTGCTCTCACTGCCACAGGAACGGTCAGGGTCAGGGTCAGGGTCAGGGTCAGGGTCAGGGTCAGGGTCAGGCAAGGTTGGCAGCCCGGTGGGATGCAGCCCCCCTGTGCCTCCAGCTCCAGCTGCTCCTCCCTGCTGCCTGGGCAGCCCCAGCCCCACACAGCACACCCCCAGCCCCCTCCCATCATTACTTGCGGGTACTCTCGTTCTTCAGCAGGGCCTTGGCTTGCTGCTCACTGATGATGGTGGCCTTCACCTGGGGGGGGTTCATGTGCACGTTCAGCTTCCCCCCCACCAGGAGCCGCACGGTGGCTGCAAACTTGGTTTGTGTCTTCAGGACCTGGGGGGGCTGCTTCTCAATGATGAAGGTGCTGGGGAAGCATGGGGATCAGGGGCAGGCAGGCAGAGCAGCCCCAAACCAGCCCCCCCAGCCTGCCAGCAGCCTCAGCCACACAAGTCCCCACCTCTACCTGGTCACCAGGGCAGAGATTATGTCAGTGATGGTGCCATTCAGCTCCGACAGCATCTCCTCCACTGGGCCTGGGATTGGCAGCTGCTGGCACAAGTGCTCAGCCCGCCGGATCTGCTGCCGGTTCTGCCAGATTATCTCTGCCAGCTTTTCGCACCTGGGGAGAGTGGGCTCAGCACCACTGGGGCCCAGCACCACCGGTGCCCAGCTTCCCACCCCACCAGGCACTGCCAGTGCCAGCACCCACCAGGTCTGCAGCACATCTAGGGTGCCCTCAGGGGGGCCCCCATTCCCTGCCAGCTGCTGCCGACGCTTCCACTGGATCAGCTCATCGTCCAGGATGGTCGTTTGCTGCTTACGCAGCAGCTGCAGCGTCCTCTGGTGCTTCTCAGCCAGGTCCTGCAAGGCAGGACAGTGTTACTGGACATGGAGATGGTGGGGCATGAGGACAGCAGGAGAGGGTGCTGGCTCTTACCACACGGTACTGCTGTAGTGTCTGGGCCTCCCGGTGCAGCCAGGCCTCTAGAGATGCCTTCTTCTGCTGCAGTGTGGTCTCCCTTGACAGACGCTCCTGTGGGCCCAGCTGGGAGAGCTGGGAGAACTGAGCTGCAGGACGGGACACAGCATTAGGGCCAGCATAACCAGCACCAAGGGACACCTCACCCCCTGGCCCACGCCCACCTTGGAGGCGCATGTTCTCCTGGTACTGGATGATGAAGTACTCCTGTGTCTGCTGCAGCTTCTTGAGCTCATTTTCCGAGTCCTGCGTGATGAGCCGCAGCTCCTCGAAGGTCTGGTTGATCTGCAGGTGCTTCTGGGACATGGCGTCCACCAGGGAACCAGCTGGTGAGGGGCTCTGCATGGGCCATGGGGAGTGCTTAGCTCAGCAATCGGACCCTCCCTGGCCCCCAAGTGCAGCGGGGACCAGGTATCCCCCTGCTTCAGGGCTGCTCCCACAACTCCTACGCTGGAGACCCCAAGCATCTCCCCACCCTGTGGGACCCCTTCCCTCAGCCCAGGACATGAACCCACTCACATTGTTTGCTTCCCGAACCAGTCGCTGCTCGTGGTAGAGGATGTGCCGGATGCAGCGAACCAGCTCCATGGGGCACCGGTCGTACGTGTTCTGCAGGGAGAGCACAGGATGAGCCGGGCCCGGGAGCCCCACAGCCCACACCTGCAGCCCCACAGCCCCCACCTGCAGCCCTCCACTCACCTGCAGCTGCGTGGCATAGCGCCC